CCGGTCAAGCCCCACCAGGCGGGGGGCACAGCCTCAGGTCCCCTGCCCCAGCCCAGCGCCATGCAGCCTCAGGTCCCTGCTGATTGCTCATTAAGGCTCCTTATGGGAACTTGGCTTCCACTGTGGGTGCAGCCATCTTGTGTTACGGGAACTCCACCTCTGCTGTGGGCACAGCCATCTCGTGATGGCGTGCCGGCATGAGGGTTAATTTGCATATTACCTCTTTATTATATAGATTATTGTATTTATTTACAATGACCTATGTCTAGATTTCCTTGTTTCTTCCTCTCTGCTAGGAGAGTTTCCCCTCATCTCTGTATTTTAGGCCCAACCTAGGGTAGGGCTGTTGCGATGGAGACATTCGTTTTTGACTCTCACCCATTTACTGAATCAACATGGGATCTCCCTCCCCCATCATGTGGTCACAAAGACTCCCTGTTAACCAAGGAGGGGGTGCTGGTGAAGAGTAGGTCTCAGGGGTCAAGACTGACTGGGTGGCTGAAGCAGCCATCTGAGGGCTCGTCACTCGATAGTAGCTGCTCCTGTGGCTGACTCATTGTTTAAGGAGAACCCATAGATTCCCGAGGGAACAAGAATGCATCAGGCTTTTTGCTTTGAGGGGTCTGGGGCACCAAACCTAAAGAAACATTAGTATCTTCATTGTCATGGACAGCAGCTACCTTTTAGGAGGTGTGTCCTCAGAAACCGATGTCCCTGTTACCATGACATCAGATTTAGGCAAGCGATTCACATATCCTGCGTTACGGAAGTCAAGTCTTCCTTTAAAAAATCGTGTTTTGGGTGTATCATGAGGACACAAGGAGTCATTTTGTGTTAGGGGAAGTCCCTTGGTGTGCTTGAGTCTGTGTTACAACTACCATGGACTCAGTGGTAATGACACAATTTGCAGATACCTTGTTCTTAAGCTTTTGAGGGTGGCAGCTGTATTCCTGGAAGTCATGACTATTGCTGATTTCACACAAAACTGCCTGTTTCCTGGCAGGTGTTAGGTATCTGCCCCCCTGAGTTAGAAGCTTAGATGTTTCAGTGTTTCTGCCTTGCCTCGACCTTACCTGGAGAGCATGGGTAGATAGGTGTTCTTTCTTTGATTCATTCTTCTCTCTTTGGAAAATTACATTCTAGGAAAGATTTTCGATGATCTCACTAGATCAAGTAAGTTCAAATAGGGCCATCTTAAGTCTGAGGAGTAGAAATGAAAGGCGGGGGATGTACATTTCAACTGGGCACTGAAAGAGGGATGGGTTGGTCCTTATTGCTTGTCCATGATTAAGTCTACAGCTTATCCAATCATCCACTGAAGGACATCTTGTGAACAAAACTACTATATAGATTTGCATGCAGGTTTTTGTGTGGACGTATTTTGAAACCAGGCTGGTAAATTTCCAGGGGTGTTATTATTAGATCTTATGGTAAAATTTAGCTCTGCAAGGCCTTGAGTCAGTTTTGATAAGCTAGCTATTTTGAGGAATTTTTATGTCATTAAATTTTTCTCTAACTTATTCTCTTAGAAGTCTGCCAGCCCTCTCTGCCCAGGCAACAGTCATCTACTTCCCCCTAGGACAGTGATGGAGAACCTATGGCACACGTGTCAGAGGTGACACGCAAACTCATTTTTTTGGTTGATTTTTCTTTGTTAAATGGCATTTAAATAGATAAAATAAATATCAAAAATATAAGTCTTTGTTTTACTATGGTTGCAAATATCAAAAAATTTCTATATGTGACACAGCACCAGAGTAAAGTTAGGGTTTTTCAAAATGCTGACATACCGAGCTCAAAAGGTTCGCCATCACTGCCCTAGGAAGTCCAAGGAGCTTTTTCTCCCTAGAATTTTTCACAATTTTTACCCGGGTTTCTTTGCTTTCTTTTATGATTTTTTGTGGCAGGACTGAATAGCCCATGTACATTTCCTATCTCAGGAAGACTCTTAGGAGGAGAAGTGTCTGATTCATTCAATTTCTTGCCTGACATCCTCAATCTCACTAGTACATACTATACTGGATAAGTTCATATTTTTTATTAGCTCTTGAAATCACTCCCTTAAATATTCCGATACTAGTTAGGGAATATAGACAAACCTCAGATATATTGTGGGTTTGGTTCCAGACCACAATAAAGCAAATATTACAATAAACAGCTGAGGGAACCACATAAGTGTGGTTCCATCTAGGAACCATTCGGTGATGACAATGTAGACACCTGGCCTCAAGGTGCTGAAATGATGGCTCTGTGCGTCTATGGTCATGGTTAATGGTAATCTTGGCCCAAAGCCTTTCCTGACTGACAAGAACAGGGCCAGTTCTGGGAACCTGGCCTATTAACTGAGGGGGTGTGCTGCTGAGTTGATTCAGCGATCCTTGATTTTCTATGCCTCATCTTCCTCTTTCTCTCCCTCTTCTTTCTTTTCTTCCTCCTTTTGTAATGATGAAACCAAGTCCTTGGAAAGCTTCCTGATTATTGACCAAGGCACGGAAGCTGCAGCAACATTGCTTTAAAATGTTAATACACAAGAGTGAGTCTGCTCTACTGACTGCAGGTAGATTTCGTAAAGATACGGAAGGAGTAATCACAAATTGCACTGCCATCAGGTCTTCAGTGACTAATTGAGACAAAATGGACAGATAAGAGAAGATAATGCGGCAGGTTGAAGGGTCTGGAGGCCTTAAGGAGGACAGACAAACAGAAAACATATTTTTAAAATGACTGTCTTTAAAGACCTAAAACCTGTTTGTAGAGCAAGAGAAAGCAAATACATATGATCAGCTTAAGTTCATAGTTTCACCGCGATTTCAGACTTTTAGTGTTCAGACCTAACTCCCTTCCTTAATGCCCTCTCAATCATTACATGTGATGGAGTGAGTGTTAAATGGTATTTTTATTTATATTTGCTTCTTGCAATTTAAAAACTGATAATTTATTTATGAAATAAAAAGGCTTTATTTTCTGATAAGAAAATTGCAAGAATTTCTTGCAGTACCAGCAGGTTAGGGCTGTGTTGGATCAGATGGGTTGGGGAGATGTTGATCCCATAACAAGTGTGTTCCCACATTACACAGTAACATAAGGTCAGTGCTGTAAATTGATTTCTATCTTAGATTGGGCCTTCTCATCAGCCATAGTTAAAAACTAAATGTTTCAGTACCTGATGGGGCAGCAAGGAAAAGAGGATAGTTCAGGTCCAAGATCCAATAGAGAAACTGTGGAAGAACTTTTGAGAGCTTACTCTGAAAAAGCAGAAATCAAGTCTGTATCCAAGATTGGAGAACATACTAGGACATTGTTTCCCAAACTAATTACTCCCATAAGGACCAGTATATTTACACATCACATGTATCATATAACATTCTTAATATTTTTACATTTAAAATCACTTTACATACCAACTTGTTGAATTTCTGATTTTATTGATCATAGGAAATTATGTCCATAAAATGGCAGATGAAATATTCAAATTATGTATTTAATGCAGAATTAACATACTAGTAGACATACAGCCAATGTTTGAGTTACTCTGTTCCCATCTGAGGCCATCTCCCATAACACAAGCAGTATTCCTGCTTTTGGAAACGCTGTTAGGAATTGGGGACTGAAAAATTTTCCCTGTTGTCAGATGAAACATTTTCAAAAAGCTTTTTATAAATAACTTCAGTGCCTCTTTGTGTGGTCACCTCTCATTTGAGGCACAGAAGACCTCAGGACAGGGAGTGTGTGACCCTGAAAAGACCTTGGCTGGTACCTCATGCACTTCCTGATGGACGGGGAAAAGCTGAGGGCACATTTCTCAGGAGATTCAACTACCCCCCACTGGGTGGGCACCAGAACAGTGCACCCTGATAGCTGGTGTGTCGATCTGTGTTGCCCATTAACCTTCGAACAAGGAAGGACTGCATCTTGTTCTCTACTGTAGGCAACATCTGAGGGAACCACATGGGTGTGGTTCAGCAAATAGACTTTAATGAATGTTTGTGATTTTTGTTCGCTTCTCTGCATTTTATTAAATGGTGATTAAGAGTTCCTTTAAAAAAAAATAAAAGAGCTCAAATGTACAACTGTGAGGGAAACTAGGAGGAAAAGTGCTGAGAGACTGATTCCCACTCTGAAATATGCCAGAGTATTTGAATTGCAATAGCTAAAGTGTGGTGCCGGGAGATTCCATGTGACCAAGGTGGTACAGATTTATCAAGAACAAAGGAATTAGCTCTGTGTCCTCTATTTGCAGAACCAAAACAATGCAAATAGGACCATGGAGGTCACATTTTACTGAATGTTCCTAGTGTCATTATGAGGTATCTACCGAGATGATCTGCAGCCTTACCTCAGCCCGTTTTAGAAGAAGAAAAGAGGACTTAGATCAGCAGGCCATAGGATCAAAGACAAATGCATTTAAGGACATTTTGGGTAAAGAGAAAGGCTTTCTTCAACCCAGCATGTACAACAAAATGACAACCAGCTGAAGTGGAACAGGGCAGAAGGTTTTATGACTCAAGGCAGGTGAAATATGGGAAAGGGTCATCTCCCCCAATCAAGAAAAAGAGCCTTTGAGCACCAGTTAGAGAATCCCCCAAGTTCTCCCACAGCCCCAAGTCACTGGCTAAGAGCCAAGCCATCGCCTCTGTGAGTCATGAGCACGGAGCCCAGTGGGAAGAGCCTGGAGATGATGTGTTCTGTTGTCAGCGTCCCTGTCAAGCCTGCATGGATGGATTTGCATTTTGGGTGGGAAATTCATGGACCAGGTCAGTTTAGGGCTCCACTTCCCCCTGGGTGGAGCGAGCACAGGCCCTATAAAGAGGCTGCCTGCCGTGCCACCGCCATCCTCCCAGCCGCGAGTTCTGATCTACGCCGAGAACGTGGTGAGTCTATTTCTAAAGTTCAACTGTTTTTCTGGTGGTTTCAACTGTTGAATTTACCTAAAGACAAAAGTTTGGCATGTCCGAAATCATGATCATGGGTTTGATGCTACTTATTTGATGAAACCTTAGAATTGGGGTGCATTGATAGACTGTTTTCACATGTTTTTAGGTAGTTTGATTTCCTATATGAAAAACAAATGAATAGGAAAGCTTTGATGGAAAGGAGAGGAAAGACAATAATATTTGTTGTTGTTGTTGTTGTTTTTTAATATGTATATTTTGGTTTCTCTTCCATTCTGGTGTGAATTCAAAGGCTCTTTGCCTTGTTCCCGAACAGCCCTTTGTTGTGTGCCTGCATCAGCCTGTTGGGACCTCACAAGAGATAATGATGATAGAAATTGCTCGTGAGGTTGCCCTGATATTAGAACTTGTGATGGGCTTTCATGACGATGTTATTTTCATACAAAACATATGACTTTATTCTTTCAGCAATATTTTCTTTGGAAAAATGGTAAGCGGAAAGACAAGTCTTTCTTAGGGCTGATGAAACAATTTTGTAAAGATGAAAGGAAAAGCCAGAGAGTCTTCAAGTGAACTTAAGAGATAAAAGCACATTCTTAGAGATTGGAGAGATAAATCTCATGGTGTTATCTAAGTGTTGGGTTCTCTCCCTCTAGGAATGCCCTCTTATGATCACTGTCATGTACTTTCATTCAGGTTTTAAGACTCCAGAAAGATGTCTTACCAGCAGCAGCAGTGCAAGCAGCCCTGCCAGCCACCTCCCGTGTGCCCACCTAAGTGCCCAGAGCCATGCCCACCTCCAAAGTGCCCTGAGCCATGCCCACCCCAAAAGTGCCCTGAGCCATGCCCACCACCAAAATGCCCTGAGCCATGCCCACCACCAAAGTGCCCTGAGCCATGCCCACCACCAAAGTGCCCAGAGCCATGCCCACCACCAAAGTGCCCTGAGCCATGCCCACCTCCAAAGTGCCCTGAGCCATGCCCACCTCAGCTGTGCCAGCAGCAATGCCCACCTGTGCAACCTCCTCCACCATGCCAGCAGAAGTGCCCACCCAAGAGCAAGTAACAGCTTCAGCGTTCATCAGGGACAGGGAAGAATAAGAATAACCGGCTCACCTCGCTCCCCAGCCCCTCCTCCATCTTCTCTTCAGAGCCCATCATGGATGCAGAAGTAGCTCCTCCACCTTCAGCCTGATATGCTTGTGACGATCCCTGACAGCGAATGATTTCCTTCCTGAGTCTATTCTGGAAGGAAAGGAAGCTGAGAAAGGGCAGTTCTCCGCTGCACCAGCGTTCCGTTCCCCAGCTTCAGAAGGAAGAGCAGCAGCTGTCCTCCTGGAGGGTGTGGGGGGGGGGGCGGGGAGGGGAAGCCAAGGGTTCCCTTGATGGCTTCTGTGTCTGTGATCTGGGCAGAGGGCTCCTATCACCGAACAACTGTACCTATTCTTCCATTCCCTGAATAAAGCACTATTTTGTTTGTGATGGAATTGTCACTGCACCAGCGTTCCGTTCCCCAGCTTCAAAAGGAAGAGCAGCAGCTGTCCTCCCGGAGGGCAGGGGGGTGGGCGGTAAGGGACAGCAAAGGGTTCCTTTGATGGCTTCTGTATCTGTGATCTGGGCAGAGGGCTCCTACCACCGAATAACTGTACCTATTCTTCCATTCCCTAAATAAAGCACTATTTTGTTTGTGATGGAATTGTATTTTCTTTCTTCTTTTAAACTTTAAATTCACTTTCCGTTTACTATAACAGCACAGAAAAGAGACCAAAGCATGTCATTTTGACTCCTACTTTGAGAGATGCCCTGAGAAGTAGTGAGAGAAAGAGAGAGAGAGAGAGAGAGAGAGAGAGAGAGAGAGAGAGAGAGATTGCTCCACTGTTCCACCTATCCATGCAATCACTGGTTGCTTCCTGTATGAGCCCTGACTGGAGATGAAACCGCAACCATGTTCCAACCAACTGAACTACCCAGATAGGGTAGCTTTTTGACTTTAAATATATTTTTTAATCCTTGCCCAAGGACATCCTATCTAATAATAAACAAACATGGTAATTAACTATACCTCCGACACGCTTCCCATTGGCTAATCAGCGAGATACGCAAATTAACTGCCAACCAAGATGGCGGCCAGCAGCCAGGCAGCTGAAGTGAAAGGAGGCTTGCTTGCTCCAGTGAAGGAGGAAACCAAGGTTCCCTGCCTGCCGCTTCCGGCCTCTGAGGTACACTCTAAGAAACAATGTTGCAATTATAGAAGTTAAACAAAACCCAGAAACCTGCTTTCAGCCAGCCGGGCTTCAGCCAGCAGGGCTGCAACATTGTTTCAATTATAGAACAAACCCAGATACCTGCTTTCAGCAGCTGAGGTCTCAGAGCTACAGCCGAGCCTCAGAGCTAAAGCTGGCTCTCAGCTCCAGTGACAGCCATAGAAGGTAAATAAATCCCAGAATAAAAGGAAAAAAGAAAAGAGAGGTTGGGAGCTTCAGTCGCCTGCCAGCCTGAAAACGGCCCTTAGCCCCTCCCCCAGACTGGCCAGGCACCCCAGTGGGGACCCCCAACCTGAAAGGGGTATGACCAGCTGCAAACAGCCATCATCCCCTCATCCAGGCTGGCCAGGCACCCAAGCGGTACCCCCACCCTGAAGCAACAAGATGGCAGCTAATTTGCATACTGAAGGCGGGTGGCAGCGGACAAGGCTGTCCACTGTCCCGGGACCCGGATCTGTGACCCTGCTGGACAGGGGGCAGTGCTTGAGGCTGTCCACAGTCCAGGACCTGGATCTGTGACCCTTCCTGGCGGGGCGGATCAGCAGGGATTGGGCAGGGCAGGATGCCTGGCTTCCGCCCAGCCCCACTCACTCTGGGCAGGTGAACAGCGCAGAGAGCCTCTGGACAGGGGAGGCAGGCTGGCGGAGGGCGGCCTGTACTCCCCACATGGCAGTGGTGACAGCTGTGAGAGCACCAAGCGGAGCCTGCTGGTAGAAACTGAATGTTTCTACCCTATGACCAATATCTCCATATATTTGCCACCCCTCAGCACAGTAACATTTATTCTCTTCTCTGCTTCTGAGTTCTATGACTTGACAACACTCTCCTCAATAGCCAATGGGTCATGAAGAAATAATAAGGAAAATCAGAAAATGCTTTGGGAGAAAAAAAATAAAAACAGAGCCTACTAAACTCATAAGACACAAGTAAAAACAGTGCACATAGAAAAATTTAAGTCTGGAGACATCTATATTACAAAAGAAGAAAAATCTCAAAACAATAACCTTATAGAACTTTAAGTCAAACTATACCCCAAGTAAAGATAAAGATGGGAATAATAAAGACTAGAGTAGAAATAATAAAGAGTAGAAAAATAAGGAATTAATAAACTGAAAATTGGTTCTCTGAAAAGATCAATAAAACTGACAATTCTATAACTAGACTGACCAAAAAGAGAAAAGACTCAAGTTACTGAAATTAGCAGAGGGGAGACATCATTACTGATCTTATAGAAATAAAAAGGATTGAATGAATTCAGAGGAAGATAAGGCACCCAGTCATGGTGAGATCATTTGAGGAAAGGAGCCTGGATTCCTTGATGACTGCATGGAGCAAAAACCTTCCCAAACCGCGCTAGACTTGGACACAAGTAAGAAATTACTTCTACTGGGCCGAGCCACAACAATTTACGGGGTGTTTGTTATAGCAGCTAACCTGTGCTGACTAATAAATTATATGATTAGAACACTTTTTTTGTTTGTTTGTTTGACTACTTTATTTTGATGCTAGGTGGCACTGTTTACTCTAATATGATAATAGACCTTACCTACTGATAAAACAAGAAGACAGGTTAGCCCTAACCAGTTTGGCTCAGTGAGTAGAGCGTCAGCCTGCGGACTGAAGGGTCCCAGGTTCAATTCTGGTCAAGGGCATGTACGTTGGTGGGGAGTGTGCAGGAGGCAGCTGATCAATGTTTCTAACTCTCTATCCCTCTCCCTTCCTCTCTGTAAAAAATCAATAAAATATATATTTTTAAAAAGAAGACAGATTAATAAAACTTTTAGGATGAACATTTTTCAAATAGTTTTTAAAGAATGTGGTCAGATAAAAACATGATGATCAAAACCAGCACAATTGTTTGTGTTATACCAAATGCTCATGTTTTTTTCATTATTTGATTTTACAACCTAAGAAAAAATATATCTCTTTTTTAATTTTTTTATTGATTATTACATATGTGTCCTTATCCCCACATTATCCCCCCCCCCCACTCATGCGCCCTCACCCCCCTGGGGTCTGTGTCCATTAGTTAGGCCTATATGCTTGCATATAAGTCCTTTGGTTGATCTCTCCCCCTTACCCCCACTCTCCCCTACCTTCCCTCCAAGGCCCGACAGACCAATCAATGCCTCTC